TTATTTTGAAGATGGAGTCTGCTCAACCTCCTGGGTAGCTAGGATTACAAATGTGTGCCACTGGTGCCTGGCAAAAATAGTAATTTTAAGCTAACTTTATTTGCCCAAAATTTACTGAACTTTGGGCCATAACAATAAAACAGTCCTACAGATAGCTTTCTATAAAGTAAAATGTGTAGAGTCTGAAGTCATAAGGACCAGGACTTGATGGGGCTGGGAATGTGACTTAGGGGTAGGACCCTTGCCTAGCATGTAGGAAGCCCTGGGCTCTATACCTCTGGACCACATAAACAGAAAAAGCCAGAAGTGGCAGTGTGGCTCAAATGGTACAATAACAACTTTGAGCAAAAGAAGTTGGAGACAGTGCCCAAGCCCTGAGTTCAAGCCCCAGGACTGGCAAAATAAAAAAAAAAAAGCTGGGCATGGGTGGCTCATGCCTGTAATCGTAACTATTCAGGAGGCTGAGACCTGTTTGAAGGCGGCCCAAGCCCCCTGGGGAGGAAAACCAATGAGTCTCCCACCTAAGCCCTTGAGTCTTACCTTGTTATCTACAAAAAAACAAAAAACAAAAAAAACAACAAACGCCAGAAGTGGAGCTGTGGCTCAAATGGTAGAGTAGTCCTGAGCTTTAGTTCAAGCCTCAGAACTGCATGGGCATGTGCCCACGCACACACACACAAATTGCGTAGGGATCTATGTTGCCTAAGCTGACCTCAAACTCCTAGACTCAAGTAGTTAGGACTCTTGGGAGGATATCTAGCTCTTGGGAGGATATCTAGCTCTGAAAACTTAAATTTCACAGCCACAACTTACTACTGCTTTTGAGACCTTTTATAGAGAACCTAAATTCTCTCAAGCTTTGTTAGCAAACCTTGAAAACAGGAGGATTAACCCCTAGAGAGTAATTCTGACAATTCAAAAGTCATCCCATGTTAACTGCCTTCACGAAGCTTACTACACAATATGTCCAAAAAATACTAATCTCAGCTTTCTCAGGGTGACAGAATTAACAACCCTGGGAATACAGCTCAGTGTAGAGTACCTGGTTAGCATGTGAGGCCCTGGGATCATCCATTGTAGGTGGTGGGAGACAAAACCAAACTTGACTTACAGGCATGCAATTTCTATCTCCCAAACCATGGCTTGGCACATAGGAGACGGACAATTAATTTTAAAACTATGACTAAACCTATATCCTCTTTCCCAGTTCTAATTCTGCCAGTGGGTGGCTAAATGATTTTTGGCAAAACCATACTTTAAGGTGTCCAGTATCGCTACCGATATCCTTTCAAATTTTAGAAGTTAACTTCTGGGTACATCACAGATTTACCTGTAAATCCATGACATCACCATGGTGTCTGATATCACACAATAACTGATGGTCTCCTTCAAAGCCTCCATCAGAATCCACGTTTCCAAAATCTCCAATAGACCACAGGGAGACGTAATTGTCCTGCAAGGCAGAAAGTTGTCCCTTGAGAGGGTGTAAACGTCAGCCCCCCGGAAAGTAAACATCTGCATTGTGTGTGGCACCGCATCCGTCCGGGGCTCAGACAAAGGTTAACCCCCGGGTCCCCAGACCTTCCCAGAGAACAAGGAGTCGGCGCGCGCACCACCCGGGGCGCGGAACCCGAGAAGACAGCGGGTACCTCATTGTCCCAAGAGCCTGTAGCGAACGTCTCCGCGGTCTGCAGGCTCCCGGGAGGCACCGGTCGCCAGCGGGTTTTGCTGATTTTCTGAGACACAAATTTGGCGTAAATATCCTCCATGCCGAGAGCGACCCGGGCAGACCCAGCAAGAAGCGCGCCGCGCGCCTCTCAGTCCTGCCTCTTCCCGCGGAGTCCTGATTGGACGAACCCTCTGCCCGGAGACGGTGGCTGCCGAGAGCCAATCTTCCTCCGGACTCGGTGCTGGAACTGCGGACTCCCGAGTGTGCAAAGTCCATCTTCACTGTGAGAAGTGTTTAGGCCCTTAGGCCCCGGTGGCACTAAGTCCTACCTATTTCCATCCCGCAAAATCAGCGTGGGAACGGAAATAGTGTTTGATAATGCAATAATTAGGCAGTATAAGAGAGCATTGTAAGGACCAAAAAAAATCAATGTGAGAGAAAACATTGCACAAAAAAAGACGATTAAGGGACTGGGAAGGTGGCTCAGTGGTAAAGCGCTTGCCTTGCATGCATGAGGCCCTGGGATCAATTCTTCAGCACCACATAAGCAGAAAAGCCGGAAGTGGCCCTGTGACTCAAGTAGTAGAGCACTAGCTTTGAGCTGAAGAGCTGAGGGACAGTGCCCAGGCCCAGAGTTCAGGTCCCATGACACGACCGACAAAAAAAAAAGTACGAGCCTATTATCTCAAATCTTTTTCTCTTTATTCCCAAATCATTTGCTGTACATTTGATGTGCAGTTTCAGAACCTGGAGTTGGAATTGGGAGACTCTAGTTTTTATTCCAACACATATCCTTGCTTGTAACCTGGGTCGATTTATTTCTGTAATCCATTCTCTACAGTCCTTCTGTACTGTTGTTAAACTTCTCTGAACATGTAAAATACTATTTGTTCCAGGAAATGGAAGCATGGTTTTTGTTGTTGATATTGTTGTAATAGTTTTTGTGCTTTGGATTTTCTGGGGACCAAAGGGAGAGAGATTGCAGAAGAGGAGGAAGGGAGGGTAAACCAATGCAATTATGCTATGTGGAAAATGGTCTATGCACTTATGCAACTTGTGGGCTAGGATAGGAGGAAAAACAGGGAAAGCAGAGGAAGGGGTAGCATTACCCAAAAAATAAAGAAATGTACTCTTATGACTTATGAAATGGTAACCCCTCTATATACCACCTTAATATTAGCAATAAAATTATATTGAAAAAAGAAAATATTGGGGCTGGGAAGGTGGCTCAATGGTAAAGTGCTTGTCTTGCTTGCATGAGGCCCTGGGTTCGATTCCTCAGCACCATATAAGCAGAAAAAGGCAGAAGTGGTGCTGTGGCTCAAGTGGTAGCTGAAAGAGCTGAGGGACAGTGCCCAGGCCCAGAGTTCAGGCCCCACAACTGGACCCCCCCCCAAAAAAAAAAAAAGTCACCTTCCTCAGAATGCCTTCTGGAAGAGTTTCAATAAAATATATTCATATTGTGCACTTAAAACAAAAAGGATGGATACGAATGTATTTATTTCATTAGGGTTTTATAACATAAAAGTATGACAACAGGAACCAGTATTTTTAGACACAACAATCTGACAACATGCATTAAAGCTTTAAATCTATGCAAACATTTTGGACTATCTATTCTACTTCTAAAAAAATTATCCTAGGTGCAGGTGGCTCATGTCTATAATCCTCAATATTCAGGTGGCTAAGACCTGAGCATTGTGATTTGAAGCCAGCCCCGGCAGGAAAGTCTGTGAGACTCTTAATTCCAATTAACTGCCAAAAATGCAGGATATGGAGATGTGCCTTAAGTGGCAGAGCACTAGCCTTGAGCAAAAGAGCTCAGAGACAGCGCTCAGGCCTGAGTTTAAGCCCCACAACTGACAAAAATAAACATTTAAGGAAGTGCATAGAGACTAATATCTAATTGTATTTATTTAGTTTCTGGATATAATACTAAAACAAGTTAGAGAAGTTAAAGATTAAGTAGAAAAAGAGATTGAGATCCCCCTAGCTCAATACACAAAGTACTTACATGTCATGTAACTGCCACCTAATAAAAACTTGTGTTCCCACAATACTTACTTTCAGCTTCATGTGCCTTTAGGAGAGATACAGGCATAGTGCCTTGTCGAACATCCCAAATACTCAACATTCCATCCTGGCCACCAGTAGCAACCACGTGCTGCTGGTTGGGATGTCTGTCTACACAGTGAAGCGGCACACGGTCACCAGTCCTTTTTGCAAGAGATACACTGTGTCAAATATGTAGTAAAAGTACAACTCACCCTTGTACAACTTAAGAAACATTCCTATTCAACTAAATACATAATTGTGTAGTAGCTAGAGCTATGAAATGATGCCCCAAAACTAATTGCATTGATTATATTTATAATTAGTAAAGATTTTTAAGAAACAATGGCCAAACTTAGTCTCTCTTCAACTTAGAAACATGGGAAATAAAATAACCTATTAATGCTGTGTACTGGTGGCTCTTGCCTATAATCCTAGCTGCTCAGGATGCTAAGATCTAAGGACTGCAGTTACAAGCCAGCCTGGCAGAAAAGTTCATGAGACTCTTAGCTCCAATAAATTACCAAAAAAGCTGGAAGTGGCACTGTGGCTCAAGTGGTAGCTTGAGCAAAAGAAGCTCAGGGACAGTGCCCAGGAACAGCAAAAAAAAAAAAAACAAAAAAAAACCACAAGCCGGGCGCTGATGGCTCACGCCTGTAATCCTAGCTACTCAGGAGGCTGAGATCTGAGGATCGCGGTTCAAAGCCAGCCTAGACAGGAGAGACTGTGAGACTCCTATCTCCAATAAACCACCAGAAAACCGGAAGTGGCGCTGTAGCTCAAGTGGTAGACTGCTTGCCTTGATATGAAGAGCTGAGGGACAGCGCCCAGGCCCAGAGTTCAAACCCACGGCTGACCGGAAAAAAAAAAAAACAACACAACAACAAAAAAAAGAAATTATAAAACACTACTGGTAAGACATATAAATCATATTTCCCTTTTCTAAGCTTTTAAAAAGTATGCATGAACTATGCCAGATATTCTTTACTTACATCGTAGTTTGCCTCAGTATCCTAGATAGCTGGGAATACAAGTATATGCCACCATGCTCAGGTATTTGCCTTATTTAATGCTTAATTTACACACACACACACACACACACACACACACACACACAATTTTATTTATTTTTTTGCCAGTTGTAGAGCTTGACCTCAGGGCCTGAGCACTGTTCCTGAGCTTCTTTTGCTCAAGGCTAGCACTCTACCATTTGAGCTATAGCACCACTTCTGGCTTTTTCTATATATGTGGTACTGAGGAATCAAACGCAGAGCTTTATACATGCCAGGCAAGCACTCTACCACTGAGCCACATTCCCAGCCCTATGTAATTTTTTTTCAGCTTTACACATTGTATTTGTTGTCATGGTTTAAGACAGGGTCATGATACATAGCCCAGACTGGCCTGGAGCTCCAGGTTCTTCGGCCTTCACCTGTAGAGTGCTGGGATTACAGGTATGCCTGGGTAGCCTGACATATTCTGATTTTTTAAGAAAAATATGAAGATTAAACACCTTGAAAAGGAGAAATCTGTCCAGAAAAAAATATTCTGGCATGTATTTTATCCCCAATCACTTCAGGGTATATTTCACTCACTATCCATATAATCTTTTTGTTTTGTTTTGTTTTTAGTCAGTCATAGGGCTTGAACTCTGGGCCTGGGCGCTGTCCCTCAGCTCTTCAGCTCAAGGCAAGCGCTCTACCACTTCCAGTTTTCTGGTGGTTTACTGGAGATAAGAGTCTCATGGACTTTCCTGCCTGGGCTGGCTTTGAACCGTGATCCTCAGCCTCCTTAGAAGTACCCAGCTCAATATAATCATTTGATGAACATAGATTTTTTCCATTAAACAATATAAACTTCAATGGTACCAGCACAAAAAGCAAACAAAATAACTTCAAAAAGATAAAGACTCTGCATATAATAAATACTTATTATATGTGAATCATAGTAGTATTAAGCCCATCATGTTATACTTGCCTTATCAGTTAACCAGTAAAAAGGGTCAATGATTTGACAGTCAGTTGTACTTATTAATTGGATCAATTAATTTTGTTATACAACTGAAATTACAAGTCAAAACTTACAGAGATAGCTCAGTGGCAAATCAGTTGCCTACCAAGTGCAATGCTCTGGGTTTGATTCCCAGTACCAAAAAATAAAAGACAAAAACAAAAAAAAACAAAAAAAACTTACAGTGATAATATCTGAGAGGGCTCATTTCCTTGTTGTCTGAAATCCCATATTTTTAACTGTCCAATTGAATTTACTGTAAGAATCTCAGGAGTTCGAAGGAAGGTTACAGCATGAAGTGTACTGCTATCTGCATTGTCTACAAGTTAAGAAGTAATGGGAATTAATAAGTCTCTATTCCCCCAAGAATGTCTGAGATCATAACCCCTCTATTGATTCAAATATTAGAAATGAGAATTTAGCCAGACCTGGTGGCTCATATCTGTAATCATAGCTATTCAGGAGGATGAGATCTTGAAGATCACAATTCTAAGGCAGCCTGGGAAGAAAGTCTGTGAGATTCTTATCTCCAATTAACCACAAAAGGTCAGAAATGGAGCTGTGGCTCAAGTAGCAGAATGCTAGCCTTGAGCACAAAAGCTAGAGACAGCAGCCAGGCTCAGATTTCAAGCCTCAGACCTAACCAAAAAAAAAAAAAAAGAAAGTAAGAAATGAAATTTTACATTAGTTTAATTTCTATGGAAATATGCATGGCAATGTGCAGGTTTAGAAACATTCCTCTGATAGAAAAATACAACTGACAGCTGAACTGTTGCTTAGCTTGGGGACTGAGTTTTTTACCATTTCCTTCTGTGTGTTTGTGCTAGTACTGGGATTCTGATCACAGGGCCTGGGTGCTGTCCCTTAGCTTTTTCACTCAAAGCTGGCACTCCACTAATTGAGCACAGTTCCACTTTTGGCGTTTTAGAGGTTAAGTGAAGATAAAATAATCTCATGGATTTTCCTGCCCAGGCTGACTCTGAACCACAATCTTCCAATCTCAGCCTCCAATTAAGCCTCCTAGCTAATATTATAGGAATGAGCCTTTTTTTTTGGTCAGTCCAGGGTTTGAACTCAGGGTCTCATGTTTACTCAGCTAGCTTGCTCAGCTGGTGATCTATTATTATTTTTTTTTGGGGGGGTGGAGTCTGGTCGTGGGGCCTGAACTCTGGGCCTGGGCACTGTCCCTCAGCTCTTCAGCTCAAGGCTAGTGCCCCACTACTTGAGCCACAGCGCCACTTCCAGCTTTTTTCTTTTTTTTAATTTTAATTTTTTGTGAACACACTGTACAGAGGGGTTACAATTACATGGGCAGGTTTCCAGCTTTTTTCTTTTTGCTTATGTGGTGCTGAGGAATTGAACCCAGGGCCTCAGACATGCAAGGCAAGCGTTCTACCACTGAGCCACCTTTCCAGCCCCTGGTGGTCTATTATTTGAACCATACCTCCGGCCTGGTATTTTTGCTGGTTATCTTTGGAGATAGAGTCTCAGAGGCTTTTCTTCCCAGACTAGCTTTGAACTGCAATCCTCTAGAACTCAACTTCCTGAATAGCTAAGATTATAGGCATGAGCTTTATATATTTTTATATACAACACTTAGGACTGTATTTACTTGGCAATCTTAAGTATTCAATTACTATGAGATAGATGATTCTTCTTACCTATAGTCCTTACAGCTTCCTTGTGATCAACTCTGAAGAGATTTATTCGACCATCTTCTCCAACTGTGACAATTTCTGGGTTGTCACACACAACACCTGTGCATGGTGCACCGCTATAGGAAGGACTGCCAGGACCTGTGTGGTAGTGAGCTGCTGTCCACTGCTGGCTCACTGACAGGGTCTAGGCATCAGAAAGAAGAGTACTAGGAATCAAA